TTTTACAGCTCAGTGTCACAGATACAAATACCATACCATACCATAAATCATTACCATCATTTCAGGTCTAGGACGTCCACTGCTGAATGTAGTCCTCCATTAATAACTTTCAAGAAGACCTATTGGAAGCAATCTGTATCCACCGTCGACCGTCGATATTTTAATAATTTTCTTGATGACAAAATGATCACGAGTCCTGAGACCCCTAAAATTGCACACGGGCATCCTTATTTACTTACTACTCTTGAGATTTCTACTAAAATGGTAGTATTTTTTAGCGGTCTCACGTGCAGAGAAAGTATTAGTTGTGTTACCATTTCGAAAAAAATACTGTCTTTATTTATATAATCTTTTTATTTGAACCTTTTTGAAGTAGGTTAAAAACACAAGATAATATATTGCAATATATTATATATATCATTATTATCATTATCGGGGCCTATCATTGCAATTTAAATATCGGTATTCCAGAATCGCATCCTCCAAAGCACTCCTTATCCTATCATTGTATTGGGTACTTACGGATATAACTTCACTCTCCACTAGTTCATCAATATCATCAGTATATGATGCCAACTGAGGTGTGCTGTTGGCTACCGAATCCACAGTGTGTGACGAAGAAGGGATAATTAAGCTATTCCGTATGTCAGAGCGCATCCTCTCAAGTACTGCATCATCCAGCAGATGACAGCGCTGTATAGCTCGTACTTGATCCGACAATCGTTGTGCTGATACGTTGACAGCTGGTTCAAGCTCCTGAAACAAAGAGACTAGTCGAACACGGTACGCAGTAAGGTTCGTTCCCACCTCTGTAGCCCGATAATATGCCCGCATGACATTTTCATTAATAGACTTTGTCCACTTCATGCGGCGCACATCACCACCGGTAGCGGGGACCCTGTTCGAGGTTAGTAGTCCTCGGGATCCCAAGCTGGTCGGTGGCCGGCCTCTCCCCTGCCGACGTACAGGTGTTGGCGACGTCGGCGGAGAGAAAAACTCGTCGCTTGAAGTTGAGCTCGACGCCTCAGCCACGGCCGGAACTTCTGTTGTAGCTTCCGGGGACGGCAAGACGGAGCGGAGCGACGAGTCCGGGGATGTTGTCAGTGCTCTGGATCTATCTTGTGTGGTCTAAATATATCAAGTAGTAAATCTTAATGCCCAGTTGACACCAATTAGTGTGAGCTGTAATGGGCACCGACAGAAATGATCCGTGACCACGCTATGTGTGAACTAAGCCCCATTATATTTACCGCCTAGTGAGCAATACGTATAAGACAAAATTATACAATTTTTATATATCTGTGTTTAAAATATATTTCTTCCTTGCTTTGTTTTACCTTAATCCCTTGCAATAGACTTACTTGTGACGGAACACCGTGTGATTTACCGGGTCGGACCAAATGTTTCAGAGTTTAGGTGTTTTCTATGTATTACGTATTTAAAAAAAAAGTATATAAGTATTCTATCAGTCAATCTAGCTTTCATAGTACAAGCTCTGCTTACTTTGAAACTTCATGGCGTTGTATGTTTAGATGTCCAAAATATTTATTTATTAAAAAAACCGTGGGAGCGCTATATATACTTTGACACAAACGGGCCGGCTCGACCGGAGTAACGCCACCAAATCGATGTTAAGCTGTTCGCTTGTTTCTTTTCACCGAGTGAATTAGGTCACCAGAGCCCAAATCAACTCTCCCCCTAGGGTGGACTCAAAGTGACTCACTTGTGACTCGTGAGTTGCAGGTCTCCATGGACGGCGGTAGTTACTTACCATCAGGTGACTCGTCTGACGTTTGCTTCTCATACCATTCATCATCAACAGCCTTTACTACTCAACTGCTGGTCATAGGCCTCTCCTTAGAAAGGAGGTTTGGTATAGGGTTTGTGTCAAGTTTTCCTTCTCTTTGCGGTGATGTTGTCCTGCGTAGTTTGCTCTCTTAGTCGGCTCTTACGACACCCACGGATTGAATACTGGGGGTGACACTCTGTATTCTTAATCCGTCACCACTCGGACACCATTAAAACCTCAATAAACTCAAACCTCATACCATTAAAATACCAAATACTACCTCTAGTAATAGTTTTGCGACAATTTTCTCTCACAAAGTTTATAAAACCATTTTTAACAGCTGCTGAAAGCATTCGTTACTTGACGCGCTGCGACGTCTCACATCTTGCTATGTTCTAGTCTTGATTTATTTAGGTAAGGTTTGTGTGTTGTATCTGGTATATTTTTATAAATATCTTCTTCTGTGCGTGTGTATGTGACTGAAATCGTCCTAAACGTTGCACCAATTTTGATGTTTATTTTTGTTTGTGTTCAAGTGAATAGTGAATTGGAGAATGTTTTAAATTCATAATCAGTCCACTGCAAAATGTTTTTCATTTTTTTAGAAAAGACAAGTGACGTGACAAGACGTGTGTACATGTACACACGTCGGCGTCGCTAGTACTTTTAGTTTTTTTTACATAAAATACAGAGAAAATGAACACATAAATACAAAGCCAAGACATTTTGAAATTTATTTGTGCCGCTCAATTAGGCCATGACTGATTATTATTTGAACTGGTAACCCTTTCCAAACTGCAATAGATTAGTAGTTGAAGAGTTTTAAAGGATACGAAATTCGCTCCGCCATTAGACAGCCTCTCCATGACTCAGTTTAGAAGTATAAGAATTAGTTGGATTTTAGTAATTAATTTTAAAAAAATACGTGTCTAATTTAGCATTGTAATTATCACATCGACGTTTTTGTATGCATGTTGTAACAATAACGGCCTTTAACATCAATGGCGACTTTTATAGGTTTATGTGTCAAATTCGCACTCGCAAATATCACACCGTGGGGAGTTACGAGTACACCTCCTGTATCCTAACTTATTTGGTAAAATGCAACGAAAGAATAGTATATTACCAGTTTCCTTTGCAGCCATAGTATCACACCGGGCAACCTGACCTGGGTATGTTCCAAAGCATGGCTTTCCCAGGTTAAAAAGGCAGTTTATTAATAAAAATAGTATTTTTTTTCTTTATACCCGTTTCACGTACATTGTACTCGTAAATCGACATTTGTTTATAAGGTTCTACCTACTATTTATTGTTGTTGTTCATTCAATAAAAAAATCTATTATTAGACTTACATCCTTTTTCCTCATACCTACTAATTAGTAGGTCGACAGAGGAGCAATAGGGCGGAACTGCGAACATTCACGCTGTCATTACCGGCGTCCTCGGGTTGAGATGCATTCATTCGAACCGTAAACGTAAGTAATTGTTCTTTATTTAGAGACTGTCTGTTAACACTTGTGACACGACGGATTAAGTGTTCTTTTTTTTAATTTCGAATTTCAATTTTTTTTAAAAGAATTAAAAAGAACGTTTTTGTTAAAAAGCGTAGGCTGATTTTTAATACACTTATATTTGTTATCAGAAAAGAGTGTCTGTGAGTTTGCTTGCCTTTTCTTCTTATAAGGCTCAACGCCATGGAAACAGGCGGTTATAGTTCGGCACAGGTAGGTAGATAATAGATTCTCGCTCGGTATAAAAATTAAGGAATGTAGAATGCAATTTATTACAATTCATCACAAATTAAAACAAGTATAATAAGGAATTGTTGAGTATTGTGAAGAACTCTTAACTGCTTAGGAGCAGTACAACTCAAAGAGAGATATTTTGCTTTTCTATATGTGTGTTCCGTTTAGAATCGTATGTGTCGTAATCGTCAAATCTCATCATAATCTCTTTAGTACATTTTTTTTGTTGACGGTGTAGAAAATCTTGAGGATAGGCTAGGAGTATGTGGTGTTTCCACTAAAAACCAACGGCCGGACTCAGGCGCCCTACTCCGAGGAGGATGCGGACCATGTTATTTCAGGTGCCCCCCGGATCGACGCCGCGCCTAGTGAAGCCCTATCCCGGGCAAGCCGCGGGCTCCTCCCCGCCTATAGGCGTTATATAATCATTATATATTGCGGTTCGACCATGCCGCCATCCTATCAAAAGAGGTCCCTAGTCTCTGACAGCCTGCGGCCCATCTCTTGAGTACTTACGGTGTGAAAGCGCAATTGACAAAACCACATTCGCATTTATAATTATAATAGTATTAGTTAGTATTTACTTCGCTTCTGGAAGGAGCTTGGTTGGCTCACCTAGCCAACCTGTCCGCGATGCTTAAAGAACCATCTTGAGTCTAAATGCGGAAACCGGATTCCACAACCAATACCAATACCAAAGGTATTTACTTCCTCTCTCTAGTATCCTAGTGCAGTGCAATTATTTTAACTTTCACTTTATATTTTTGCCACAATTCTTTTTACAGTTTAAATCCGAAATAATAAAGCTGAAAAGAAAGACATGAAAATATTATCAATATATTAAAAACGGACCTCTGTGAAACGTATTGTCCATAATCAACATTCCGCTTTAGAACAGTCATTTCAATTGCTTTTGTGCAACCTTAGGGGTGTAGAAAAACTGTTTAATATTATTTTAATCAATTTATAAGTACCAAGGCAGCATAAAGGTCACATGTAAAAAAATGCCAGATTTAGCAAATGTTTTAAACATCGGATATTTAAAAAAAACAATCGTTTTGCTATCTTCCTATCAATACGTTCAAAATGAAATTACCAAAAAGGACTTAACTATGCAATTCAGTAATCATTTTAATGAGATCATTGTTTACGATCTCGATTTTAATTAATTAGTACACATAACAGCTATTAAACATACGATAATGTTTTTTTTATCATACAATATGCATATTTTCCAACACGAGAATATTTAACGACGCTTGTTTTTACTAAATATTACCCCACGCAACGTCATATTAATAAAACCAATATGAACTCTTGACATCCATCTCGTTAACAACAATAACAAGATTAAATATTACTTTACAAGAGAACAATACGGTTTATCGACCGTCAGAGGACGTCCACTCCCCAGTCTCTGTTCGTCACCAGACGGAACACCACGCAACATGCGTTACATAATACTTATGGTACTAATTGTTTACACAAAATGTGACGATTACTATACAAAACGCAACCAAATTCTAAAACTTGAAAGCGACTTAAGCCTCGGAGGAAACACAACGCTCACAGTAAAGGAAGGTATTGTTAACAAATGCTTGATGATACAAAAGTTAATTGATGCTGATAATGCATTCGATCATCCGGAAACTTACAACTTCTCACATCATTTCTTCTCATATAAGGACAGAATACCTACTTCAAAGGTTTACAAGATCATCAAGGCGATGCCTAAAGGAGCTGTGTTACATATTCACGACATGGCGATCATGGGACCTGATTATATGTTGAACATCACTTATATGGACCATTTATATGTTTGTATTGGAAAGCGAATACAGTTTTTGTTTTCGAAAGCAGTGCCGAAAACCGAATGTTGTGGTGAGTGGCAACTTATGAGTCAAGTCAGACATGCAGCAAAAAATGTTACCAAGTTTGATTTAGAAATTAGGAAGCATTTTACACTTGTTGTGGACAACCCTGACTTTGTGTATCCAACAATCAAAGAAAGTTGGGATACATTTATGCAATATTTTGGAACGGTGCTCGGTTTAATTACATATGAACCAGTGTGGCAACAATATTTTTATGATGCTTTGGACTCTTTAAGAAAGGATAACGTTATGTATGTAGAAGTAAGAAGTGTTTTGCCAAAGCTTTATGATCTAGATGGTACTGTTTATGACCAGAAAGTGACGGCAAAATCTTACAGAAAAGCCATTAAAAAATTTGTTTCAGCACATCCTGATTTTATTGGGGCAAAACTTATTTTTGCACCCTCAAGGCAAGTAGACGCTCAAACTGTAGAAGAATATGTAAAATTGGCAAGAGAATTAAAGAACGAAGTACCAGATATATTTGCTGGCTTTGACTTAGTTGGACGTGAAGACCTTGGCAATCCTCTAATAGAGTTTGCATCAATATTGAATGATGCAAAGGATTTGAAATTCTTTTTTCATGCAGGCGAAACTGATTGGTATGGAAGTTCAACGGACATGAACCTTATAGATGCAGTACTTCTTGGAGCTAAGCGTATTGGTCATGCGTATGCGCTGACGAAGCATCCTGTGGTTATGAAACATGTGATTGAGAATGACATTGGATTAGAGATTAATATAGTCTCGAATGCCGTGTTATCGTTGGTTAAAGATATCCGAAACCATCCGTTGAGTGTTTTTCTAAGTCACAACTTACCAGTTGTGTTGTCTAGTGACGATCCAGGTGCTTGGGAAGCCGATCCTTTATCAGATGACTTTTACATAGCTTTTGTTGGTGTTTCTAGCAAGTTCTCAGACTTAAGGATGTTAAAAACTTTGGCTCTTAATTCTTTGAAGTATAGTGCATTAGATCCTGTCGAAAAACAAAGGGCTATCCGCTCGTTCCACCAAAAATGGGATGATTTTGTAGAAAATTTTGACTGTTCGAAGTATTAAATTTAGTGGTAAAATAAGAATACATATTAATAAACAATTGTAGTGTTTGATTTTAATTGTGTACAAATTTCCTGCCGCCTTGGTGATATGTCAATTGAATAATAATTTCTGTGAGCAACGCTTTCTCTCGATATGTCTGTTAGATTGGTTATAATTCTTTGTGATAAATATCTCTTTAATTTCTGTCTATTATTTTTTACAAATTTTTCATCAACATCATCATCATGATGCCTCTAATAATAGTCCAGGCCTCTCCTTAGAAAGAAGGTTTTGGTCTATATGGTAAATTTTTGATTAATAATACAAGAACATACCTAAAGGTATATTTGTTAATTTACTTATTAAATTATTAAATTAAGCTATTGTTGTCCATACATCGGTGTTAAACAATTATTTCGGTCTCTTTCACAGAGTGAGTGTAGTTATCCGAGGCCCAATCAACCTCCGCCTTTCAACTCAGGGGGAGAGTAGTTAAAGGGAGACAAAGTCTTTTATGACCTATGTTATGATCGTTTTGCAATTTTAACATAAAGGTATATTCATACACGCAGCACATATTTATTAAATAAAATTACACAAAAAGTGCTGTTATTTCTTTCATCACGGTGCCAGAGATACAGCAGAGCACGCGGGGAATCTTTCTCTATAAAAAAAAACCTCGAGCAATTTAAAGCCGCGTTTTCACGTTACGAGTGGGCTCGGACCGAGTCCTACTCGGATGCAACTCGTATCGTGTAAACACGCCATCTGAGTGCACTCGGACGTCGAATACCGATCAGAGTGGACTCGGACGCGGTTCTATTTTTTCGGGTGCACTCGTATAATTTTATGTAAACAAAATGGCGTCAACAAAAAAAAAGTGGAGTGAATGTGACACTATGAGGTTTGTGGAGCTTTATGTAGAGGAGTGGAATGTGAGGCTAAATGAATGTAAACACAAAGACGGCCGAAATGCTACAATACAACGCATACTTAAGAATTTACACACCACCTATGAAACCAAGACGTGACCAACAAATTCAATTATATCCAGAATACGTACTCGCAAGAACTATTAAAAATAAAATGCACAGGGCGTTTTATTAAGAATTAAAAATTCATCATTGGTTGAAAATTGAAGATAGATTTCTATCGTGTGTAATCAAAAAAGGAAACGTTTTATGAAATGTTTAGGGTTTATAACAGTTAAATAGTAAAAATTATAAGTAGTTTATTAGCTGTACTTTTATAATAATGTTTTACTAATATAAGAAAACACAGATAAAAGGCACATTCTCTCATGATGTGTCGTTTGTAACTAGTTCTTCGTTCTTTGCTGACTGAAAACAATGATTGTTAACTTAGTTCACAAGATCAGCTGTATGATTTGAGCTTGATTCTTGTGTTCATGTATCAGGTCCTATAAGTTCTATTGTAAGTGCGTCGTAACGCAAGGCTCTCTTAATCAACCAGTTGCGGAGGGCGCAAGTCACTTTTGACTATTTTATAGACTATCGGCCACTATTTCTATGCCTCGCAGTAGAAGATCATCATCATCGAACATCTTGAAAATGGATATAGTGCAATGAAACAACGAGATATATCGGACGCTATTCAACTTGTAACGTGTATACTACAATCCGAATGCACTCTTATACGAGCAGGCTCGTACGCGCGCACTCGGCCCGAGCATACTCGTAACGTGAAAACGCGGCTTAACGGTTGCATCAGTTCCCAATATACCAGAACATCAAAAAAAAATGTACTCAGCTGTACTTTTATTTTGTTTCAATAAAGTACAATAAATTTTGGAACTGAAGTAGTAGGCGTAGGGGTTTAAGCGATCAATTCGTTGCTTCCTACTGCGCTGAGTGTTGTATCTCCACATGGGACAACACTTTGTATGTTCCACAAATTGTTACTCTGAGTCTGGGTTCTATGTGTCCGTTTCATGTATGCCTTTTAAAGCTGCGGCATTAACGCAGACATTTTCCTCCAGCCAGCATTTGCGTGGTGCAGAGCTGTGTGTGGCAGGTGTATATTTCAAAAGAATTAGATGACAAATTAAATTAACATGTGTTACGAAAAGTTTGCCTCAATACATATATATACTTACAATTTACATACTATATTAAAGTATTCCGTGTGGTGACGGATTAATAAAACGGAGTGTCACCACTCCTCTTCTAGCCGTGAGTGTCTTAAGAGCCGGCTAAGGAAACAAACTACGCATGAGAACAGCACTGCAAAGAGAAGGAAAACTTGAAACAAACCCTATGCCAACCCGTCTGGCCAGCGTGGTATAGTAGGCCAAAACCTACTTTCTAAGGAGAGGCATGTGTCCAACAGTGGACAAATTGAGGACTGTTGATGATGATGTATTTGACTCAGGTCGATATGACCCGCAGCTTATCTCTCCTACGATAAATAAATAAGGTTAGTAGAGAATCATGCTGGAATAGATTTTAACTCCTAAGTTGACAATTATTTATGTTGACAAGATAAGCTCCTTTTGCGTGAGCAAGGAGTTTCTATTTATTTATTTTAAACTGAATGCACATGTTGTAGAAAGGCGGACTTAATGCGATTAGGCATTCTCTCCCAGTCAACCTTCAGGTGATGTAGAAATATGATTCGGTAGGTGCAAAATAAAATTTTAAATTTAACATAATTGAAGTCCAGAGACATACACAATATATAAACACTCATACATACATAAACCTACATAAATTTAATAAAATATATAAATACTCAGACGGGTACTAGCGTTGTGACTGTTCCGCCAATTCACTCCGAAGAAGATTGCGCACTTTTCTCTTGAATGTAAGGAGGTTTGTGGACATCCTGATTTCGGCAGGGAGGGCATTCCAGAGAAGAACTGACTGGACGTAGAAGGAGGAGTTGATGAAGTTGGAGGTGTGAGGGGGGCATAGAAGAAGCATATTGTTGGTTGATCGAAGATTTCGATCGTGATTGGAGCATTTTAATAAGAAGTGTTAAAAACAATTCCTATACAATTACATTTACTCGTATGTTCAGTCATATACTGTTATCTATACATATAAAATTACATACCGTGACTGAATCATTAATTCATTAAAGTAACCAAACCGCCTACAAACTTGAAATTTTGGCATAATTTTTATGTTGTAATCACCTCTAAGAAAATTTCACTCCTACAGGGGTAAAATAAGGTATAAGGTTTACTATACCAGCTATGTTTCACGCAAAAAACCATTTTTTTCGAATGTGTAGTCGTTATAACAATATATGTTCTCAAGTAGACATTTTTAATCTATATATATATATATGAGATTTCCACGTATATAGTCACTCATCATGATATCTCTGGAACCATTAGAGCTAAAGACTCGAAATTTGGTAGGAATATTGTTTTCATCGAGTAGAGGTCAGCTAAGAACGGATTTTAAGAAATTCAAAAAAAAAAAAATGTAAAAAGCAAAACAACGTTTGCAGGGTCAGCTAGTGATAGTATAAATGTATTCAAGTGCTTTTTACATAAAACTGAAATATATAAATCTAGCAATGTAAAATTATATTAGCACATTGTAGATATAACTAATAAGTCAATTTACTGCATTTCATTATCATTTTTGATTTTTCTTTTTTGCGTTTGTTTAACACCTTTTTTTTAGGTGTGGAAACCCAAAGGCGTGCTTTATTTTGGGCGGTCAGAGCCTCTGCCCACCCCGGTGTGCCGTACAGTGCCATTGACCGGATAACCCCCGTGTACAGCCGTCTTGTCGCAGCGTTTGTTTAAGACCTTTGTTTTTTTTTTTTTTTTTTAACGTGTGGAAATCCCCTCGGACCGTCACCCCTCCGGGGTTTGCGGCGGGGTGGTGTGTCGGACTCGGACCGACTAAAACCACACGGTGTGCCACTCTGCGCCTTTAACAGGAGGGATCCGGGAACAGCTGTTGTTAAGACATCCGGACCCCTCCTAGCGCCAGCCCGCTCCTGGTGCGGGCTCCGTCTCAATATATTTTTTCCTCTCTTTAGGCGACGTCCGGCACACGCGGACGCCGCCCCCTCGCGGCTGGCCAAACTAATGCGGGTGGAGGGGAAACCCACCCCGTTCACCCGCGGCCACACTCAGGGCGGCATGAGGCTGTGATAGGCGGGCCTCCGCCGCCCGGTTCGCCGGCGGCGGATCGGGTCCGAGTGGAGGTCGTCCTCACGGGCCCTCTCCGCCGCCTCCTTCCGCGAGATTACTACCTCGCAGAAGGTTGCGACCGCGGTAAAACAACTGTCGCTACCGGCCATGGAGCGTACTACGGCCGGTAGCGAGAGATCCACTCCGATGACTGCAGTGAGGGCCCGGCGCTGCGCCGCCCATGCGGGGCAGACCGCCAGCGTGTGCTGGGCCGAGTCCTCACTGCAGTCGCAGTGGTGGCAGGCGGGACTCAGTTCCCTCCTAGCGACCGAGTGCAGGTACTTTCCGAAGCAACCGTGCCCGGAAAGCACCTGCGTCAGCCGGAAGAAAAGGGTCCCGTGCTGCCGCCCTGCCCACTCGGCGATGACCGGCTGGAGAGCCTCCACGGCGGCGAAGCCAGCGCGTGGAGTCTCCAGCCGGAACGACCAACGAGCCATCGTGGCTCGGCGAGCGGCTTCGCGCCACTCGCGCACATCCTCGGGCGGAGGGCGAAATCCGCTCTCCGCCCGGGAGTCAGCCACTCGCCGATAAACTTCGGCGAGCACTTCCGCCTCCAAATCCCACGGGGGAGTTCCGGCCAACGCGCATGCCACCTCCGTCGAAAGCGTTTGTTTAAGACCTAACTGAAGCTGTATTACCGCGATTGTGAATGATATGTATAGTTTAAATTGTACTGCAACTTTGAAATTGTACGTTGTTACTTTGTATTGTCTGTAACTGTACCTATTAAGTAAAATTTATAAAAAAAAAAAAGTTTGTCATCTTTAAAGTTGGAAACACAAAATAACAAATAATCACGCTAGCGAGGCCGCGTACTTTACTAAACGTACGTACAATATTATCTAAA